CCTAGCTCCCGTCTCTAACCAGTGTCCCTGTCCACCTCCACTCTCCCTCTGCGACCTCGGCTTCACTCTGTGTCAGGGACCACTCTCCAGAGCACAGCCTGATCTGCCTCCCTCCTGCTAAAACCTCGTGCCTACAAATTCCTGACTCCCCAGCAGGGCAACGCAGATGCCTGGGACCCACCCAGCTCTAAATAGTCCTGTGTGGACATACCTCTGCTGCCCCCAAACAGACACCCTCTAAGCCTACTCCATGTTCTGCCCCTCCCCCTACCGGTTCCTTGACTGTGTAATGAATTTCTGCTCTCCCTTAAAAGACCCATTTAACGATCCTTATTTCCTATTTCTTCATCCACTCGTCCACCCAACAAGTATCTATTAAGGGACACAATCTGCTATGGGGAAAGTGACAGTGAGCAAAAGAAACTTCCTGCCCCCCAAAGAGCATGATAAATAAGCAAAAGAATAAAGAAATAAAAAAATAGGGAAGGCTAGCATCCATGGAAGGCATAGGTGGGGGTAAAGGGACCTCCTCCTTCTATCTAATTAGACACACATTCCAGTCTCATGCCCCCTCCTGGAGAAGCCTCCCTTTCATTTCTTCAGGAGGCACGCTCCTTGTGGGCGAGACCACAGGCTTGGGTCAGGACCTTGTCTGCTTACATGCCTGAGCTGTAGTTAGGCTGGCAGGAAGGGAAGAAAGGTGCCACGTACATGTGGCTTACATGTCACGTACTCAAGGCCAAGTCCATGCTGAATAATTGTCTATATCCTGTGTGCCCTGAGGTCCCTCTGATCCTGGGCGCATCTCCAGCAGTGGGCGCCATCTGAGCATGACGGGAGCAAGGAATTCCCAGGAAGAACAGTGCACACAGCAGACCTACTAGTTGGGAAGCCTGAAACAGGGAGTCTCCCTTCTCCCTTCCCAACATGGAAGGTAGGAATGGGGCTGGACAGTTGAAGCATCAGATTTTGCAGCATCTCTGAAAGCAAAAGGAGCAAACTGCTTTTGCTCCCTCCGTTCAGACCAACGACTCCTGATGACTTGTAATTCTTCTTTGTCCAAGATCAGCAATGTCTGATGCCAAACTCCCGTGGAGTTTTTCACTCCCTTCCTAAAATAATTAAAAACCCCACAAAGGGCAAACTTTTCAAGAATCTGGCACATAGTCAATACTCAACAAGCATCTAGGTGATTGCATAATGGGAAGGATAGCTGTGACAGTTGATAACGCTGAGCCTTTACAACATGTTCAACACGGTGCTTAAGCACTCTCGTTCGATCCCCAAAACAATGCTAAGAGGTAGGAGCTGTCCTCATTTAATAGATGAGAAAGTTGAGAGCCATCGATAGGACTTGTCCTTGGTCACACAGGCTGTAAGTGAGGAGTTTATCTGACTCAAAAAAAAAGAGTTTATCTGACTCCAAAGCCAGTGCTCCTCCAAAGCATGGCTGCCTCATCATGATAACAACGTACCGTGGGCCAAGTAAGTGCTACCGCGGCTTTACTGAGATGCTCAGTAGCTCGTCAAGCGCCCAGATTATAAGTGGGGAAACTGAGGCTTGCAGAAAGACCAAAGCCTCCCACATTATCGGCCATGGAGACAGAAGTGCCCACTGAGAGTCAGGACAGGACAAGCCTCTGCAAGGGGCCCCCCGGGGAGCACCTGCCACATCTCCCATCCTTCTCTGCCTGGGAAGCATGCACCCAAAGAGGTGGACACCCCCTCTGAGAGGTCAGACCTGCCTTTTTCCCATTTGGCTGAACATGTGTCCTCTAAGGTGGTGAGCTTCCCAAGCAGATCGCCACCCCTACAGCTCTGCTCCCCTTCCCACATCGAGTGCATTCTGGGGCCAGCTCCCCGCAAGCTGCAAGAGTGCCTCTGACCGATGATATACTCCTGATTGTCACCATAAAAGAAACCTGCCTGGGAAACAGAGCATTTACCCTTTCTCCGGTGTCTCCTAGCGAACAGGCAGGGGAGAGGGTCTTTCGTCTGAATCAGAAGCCCTTGGTGACAGTTTGTGTGGCCTTCAGCGTGCCCCATTCTGCTTCTCTATGGCCTCCATTCCCTCACCTGCTAAATGGGTATTAGAATACCTGTCTCCTAAGGTAGCTATGTGAACTAGTCACGTAGACGAGTAGATTCGGAAAATTGCCCAGCTCAGGGCTTGGAACATAAATGTTGGATGAAAACAGACGGATGAACAGCCAAAAAAAGACTAAGTCTAGTGAGATAGGCACAGCAAAATACCCGTGAAGAATTTTCAAAGTTATTGTATTAAATTGAAAAAAAATTTAAAGATATTTTTAAAACTGGTGCTTGTGGGGGAAATATGTTTAAAGGATTAAATAGCATATGGGCACACCTGTGGAGATTATTAAAAGGGGATTTAAAAGCCCTTATTAAAGGACTTTTAAAATTGATCATAATGGCGCCATTAAAAGAATATAATAACATGAATTATACAAAAGTTCGGACATTTGCCCTTTATTTCTTTTATACAAAAATGAAATACAATTTGATATTTTACCCAGACACCTGGCAAGAGGAAGAAAACAGAGGTGGGGAGGGACTGGGGGGGGTGACGGCCACGTGAGGGGAAGCTATCAGAAGCAGAGTTGACAGAGCTGTCTGCTGGAGTACTGCAGGCGCACATTGCTAAGCAGGTTCCATTTGGTTCCAAAACAATGTCAAAGAGGTAGGGCCTTTCGCTGTCTTCATTCTGAGATGGGTTGTCCACAGTTTCCCGAGGGCCCCCAATTGGATTAAGTCCTGGTGGCCCACAGAGGTGACTTGCTGATAACTCAGCCTCTCTGCATGTCTTTCAGTTACCCACACCCTTACCAGCATTTCCTAGGATCGACTCACACACAAACTACATGTCAGGGTCTGCTTCTGGGGGAAGCCAGAATAAACTAGCCAAATAAAATAACAAGTAAGAACCGAACAAGATAACAAGGTCTGTTGGCCAAGAGACATAACCACTTGGGGCTGACTTGCAAAGTCCAAGCTACACCACCCTACTAGGCAGTGGTATGAGTCCTTGATGTGAAGAGAGCCCTGCATGAGCTACACCAGGTACAGAGTGGAAACAGTAGCATGAATCCCCTGTCATTTTTTTTATCCTTTTGAGCTGGAAGGTGCAATCAAAATAAGGCAGGATTTTGGAGTGCCCGGGTGGCTTACTTGGTTGAGTGTCCGACTCTTGATTTCGGCTTAGGTCAAGATCTTAGGGTTGCAGGATCAAGCCCCGTGTTGGGCTCCACGTTCAGCGGGGAGTCTGTGTCTCTCCCTCTCCCTTTCTCCCTCCCCCTGCTTGTGCACTCTCTCTCTCTCTCTCTCTCAAATAAATAAAATATCTTTTAAAAAGGAAATAAAATAAAATAAATCTTTTTAAAAATTGAAAGGAGGCAGGAATTCAAGTCTGAAGATCCACCTTTGTGTCCTAACCCTTTTGTGGGACAACCTGACCCAGTGCAGACAGGCGGTACAGGCGGTGAAAGGATAGAAGATTACTGAATGCGCCGCGAGGGAGCATTAGCCTCCTTAGCCATTAAGAATGCAGGCTCCCCCCCCACCCGCCGTTACTCACTGCATTCCCTCCATGCTTATCACATGTTGTAATTATTTATTCATTCATTCACCTCTTTTTGATAAACACATCATTCTTTCCCCCCTACCAGATGAGGGAATCCCATGAGGGCAGGACATTGTCCCTATTGTCCACCACCGTGGGACCAGCCCCAGCGCAGTCAATAATCATGGTCAAACTGGTCAGTGTCTCCCTAGAGTTTGGTAGAAGTCCCTCGGGCATTCATCTTCCACTGCCTTTGCTGTGGAATGCCAACATATAGATCTGATTGGCGGTGGGAACTCCACTGGGGAGGGGGTACAAACAGGCCCCCAGTGGTCATGTTGAGCCCCAGGTCTGGGGTCTGGGCACAGGGCCCAGTCCCAGGTCTCACTGAGTTCCAGAAGAGGAGGGTGCAGACTTTAGAGATTCTCAGCTAGGTGTAGTACCCTGCGGATATTTTGGAAGTGTGTGCAAGCAGTTTGGGTTGCCACAGTGACCAGGGGAGCTCTGGCATCCTGGAGGTGAGGGGTGACGGACATCCTGCAGTTGCACAGGACAGTCCTCAAAGAATTGTCCTCCCTTAATGCCAATGACATGTCCGCTGAGTAACACTCCACTGCTGGGATGACCAGTGGAGCCCATCACACATCCCGTCACGGGGCGATAAGGAGGCCAAAACAATCACCAGTTGGGCAGGGGCTTCCATTCTGTCAAGCAAGGATTAGCAGGGAAACAAAGCTGTGATTTGGAAGTTGGGGTCCCAAGCCAGAGTTCTGGCTCTGCTCCTCAGGGGCTGAGTAACCTTGGGGGAGTCTAATAACCTCTCTGGGCTTCAGTTTTCTTTCTTTATTTTTTTAAGATTTTATTTATTTATTTGACAGAGAGAGACACAGTGAGAGAGGGGACACAAGCAAGGGGAGTGGGAGAGGGAGAAGCAGGCTTCCCGCTGAGCAGGGAGCCCGATGCGGGGCTCAATCCCAGGACCCTGGGATGCTGACGTGAGCCGAAGGCAGACACCCAACGACCGAGCCACCCAGGCGCCCCTGGGCTTCAGTTTTCGTACCCAAGTATGGTAGCCCATACCTGCCTGACATACTGTATCAGTAAATGTCAGTTGCCTTGTAAATCAAATTTGTACATACTGTGCTCATTTTGTAATGGATCACAGCTTGATTCAGAAGGCATTTGGAGAGCCAAAAGAGCCAAAAGGTTGAGTCACCTCTCGTTTGGATGGGCCAGGCCAGGGGTTTGATCTGTATACTTTAGGAGTGAGGGGCTAACTCCAGCACCTAGTCCTGAAGCTGTCACTCACCCAGGCAGAGCCGGCTCTCATGAAGAGGGTGCTACCCTGCCATTGGAGGTGGATGCTGGCGGCATGACCTCCTCAGTGGGATTCATTCTTGCCCTTGCTCTGACATTGCAGGGGGCATCCCATTCATCTTGACCGGAGAGTTCTTCCAGCAATCCCAGCGGCCGGCTGCCTTCATCATTGCAGGCACCGTCAACTGGCTCTCCAACTTCGCTGTTGGCCTCCTCTTCCCATTCATTCAGGTACGACTGACAAGGGGTCTCCTGCCCATGGGATGCCCTCTGATTCAGCAGCCCTCTGTGTGAGGGGTGAGTCACAGAGCCGAGGCTGAGTGTCTCAACCGGAAACTCACACTGTTGGCCTAAGAAGGGCAGAGATGTACCTTGGCTCCAACCCTGAATTCTCTTTCTCCCTCCTGCACCTTCCAGGATCTGCCCCTAAACACAAAGGGCTGCCTTAGAGGGAGTGGGCTTCCTGTCGCCAAGGGTCTACAAGGAAACTTAGGTTAGAATCTCGAACCTGCACTTTTGCAATGTGCTTGTCATGGTGTTAGACAAAGTCCGTGTTATAGTTACAGTGCACCTTGTCGTGCATCTAACATCCTCATTGTCATCATCATAACCCAACTGATGGGGTCACTGTCCCAAGGGTGACCATGGCAGACAGGAAAATGTGAACTCAGGAAATGGATACAAGTTCTTTGTGTGTAGGTCAAGAATCTATTCATTCACCCACTCATTTATTCAGCATATATTTATTGAGTCCCTACTCTGTACCGGGCACTGTTTCAGGCAGTGAGGATAGAGTGGGAACAAAAATTTGTGTTCTGTGGTCCTGGAGCTGAAAAGGGAAGCAGAGACCTGAGTGAAGTGAAGCAGCCCAGGAATGGAGAAGTCCAGGCAGGGAAACAGCAAGTGCAAGGGTCCTGAGGCAGGGCCATGCTTGGCCTGTGTAAGAAACAGCAAAGAGGCCAGTGTGGCTGGAACAGAGTGAGCAAGGAGGGTGGGAGAGGCAGGAAATGAGATCAGAGAGCTCTCTGGGGGCAGGAACGCAAAAGACAAGGACCTTACAAGTGTTCTGCACAGAGCCAGGGGCCCCCAGCTGCATTCCAAAGAGGGTCCAAGCTTCTCTGCTCTGATGCCCCCAGGGCTCCCCACTGCCCATGATGGGGGTGAGAATCTGTCAGATGTCTCTGAGGAAGAACCACCATCCCTTCTCAGGGGCTATTTCAACCCTCCCCCTCCCCGCCTCGGTTAGTAGTCTGCCTCTTAATTGACTAGCTTCAAGCCCAGCACATCCCAGAGACATGCAGCTTGGCATGTCCAAGGTCAGCAGCCCTGGCCACGGGCCCACGTGATGGTTACTCCTGCGCCATAGAGCAGTTACTCTGCGCCAGGTCCCCTGCACGTGGCTTTTCATGTGCTCATGACATCCATCCATGCAGCCCTGAGCTGGGGTTTCCTGTCCTTTCTGCTTTACTGCAGAGAGGCTGAGGCTCAGGGAGCAGACGCCATCAGCCCGAGGTCCTACGGTCACCATCCGCCCCGGTCCCTCTGCCCTGCGGCCTCTTACTGGTGGACATTCTCTGTCTGCTGTTCATTAGTCTCAGAGATGGAGGTGTACTCACCACGTGACTTGTACAGTATCATTGACTGCATCTGAGCTACGGGCACCCTGCCTCTGAGCGTGCACGCCATGGGGGACTCCCTGGGCCCCACACCCATTTCCTCCCATCCTCGGGCATCTTCAGCCGGGGCGGCCAGAACATAACAAGTAGTCTTTTCAATAGACTTCAAACCTGAAATGGCTTCTTCCTGTTTGGTTCAAAGCCAGCAGAGCCAGGGGTCAGTAAAATATTCATTGTTGTGGGAAAAATGAACTTCAACCTCTTCTCTGTCAACACAGATCCACCCTTACCATTTAAGTGGAGAAATTCTAGAGTCCTCACCTGGCCCACCACTAAGCTTTCTATATCTGGGTAGTAGGCCACTGTCTTCTGCGCAGTTTGGGGCAGGGTAAAAGATTTCACTGTACCCCCACACAAAACACGCCGCCTCACTTTCGCGCCATGGTTTGGGAGCGGACGGCACAGACGTGCCACCGTAACACTGACATTTGCTGAGCACTTGCTTGTGCCAGGCTCCACTCATCCCCTGTCAGTGCTGGGAGGTCAGGCCTTCGTGCCTCCCTGGTACAGATCAGCAGCCTGGAGCTTAGAGAGAGGCAGCCGGTCCCCAAGGTCACTGCCGTGGGAAATGACAGAGCGGGATTTGAACCCAGGCTCTCATCCTTGCCTATAAGACAAGGGGAGGAAGGGGCCCTTGCTTATACAGCAGGTGATTCCATCCTACAAGTCCATTTGAACTGGGCGAAGAGTTAATTTATGTTTAAACACACACACACACAGACACACACATGCTCACACACACAGGCACGCATCTCAGGGAGGTCTCCAAGCTGCTTGGATCCATCTGACCTTTCCGTCACATTGTTCATTTGGGAAACCACAGCCCATCCATGGCTTCTCCCAAACAGAAATGCCGTGCTGTCTCTCCCTTGAGATGCTCCCCCAGACTCAGTGTGCGGGGAGCCAAGCTTGTGCTGAGTTCTGGGGAGCTGTCCTAGCCCTGCCTGCTGAGCTGCATTATTTGGCAGGGAAGGGTGTGGGAGAGGACAGTGGCCACGACGGGCAGGTCCGTGTGCATCGCGTGGAAGGTCTTATTACCCCCACTTGTCAGTCAGGACGGGTTGGGTTTGCTGCAGGAAGAAACAGCCCCGAAGTCTCAGTGGCTTTAAACCAGCCGGGATGCTGTCTTACTCATGCTAGGTGTTCATTGCGGGGGCACTAGAGATTCTGCCCCAGAGCCTCCCGACTCAGTCCCAGCAGGTGGAAGGAGTGTGGCAAGTCTCACACCATCCATTAAGGCCATCACCTGACAGCGACATGGGTTACCACCCTGTGCAGATTGAGTGAAAGCCACACCACCACACCTTACCCCAGGGGAAAGGCAAAGGGCCTTGTGTCCAGAGGGGAAGAACCAGAAATCTTGTGTCCTTCCGTAATGATGGCCACAGCCCACTCTTTGAGGAGGAAAGTCAGATTCAACAGGCTCAGGACACTTGCCCACGGCCCCAGACCAGTGAGAGGAAGAACATGGCCACACCCAGGGGATGCCACCCCCATGTGCCCTTCTTTGACCCCCAGGGCTTTTGTGTGTGTCAAACTCCTTTTCACGATAACCCAATTTCTGACAGCCTTGACCACATGTTTAGGGGATCATGGTCATTCCAACTGGCTCACTTCCAGCGGGGTGCCTAGGTGCCTGAGAGGTTTCTGGGGCCACAGCTCACTCCGGGACAGCCTGTTGTGATGTGCTGGAGTGTCTAAGGGCAAAGCAAGACCAGGATTCCCAGTGGTTAGCGGGTCCTTCTACAAGAACTCCGAAGGAGCCCCTGAGCGTGCTGACACTGTCACTGTGATTAAAAATGCATCCATTCACGCTGTGGGGATGATCTCATATGCCAGATTTCACAGAGAAAGTCAGCCCGAAGCCCGCTCCGAGCCTGGCCTGGAGCAGGGGAGTAAGGCCAGGACCGAGTTTAAGGGCTCAGGGCCAAGAGGGGTGCCACCTGCTCACAAAGCTGAGGGCCCCCGTGCACACAGGACACATCTTAGAACATCCAGACCAGCTGCCTCCTCCCAGACACGTCAAGGGCACAGGAGTCACAGGAGAGCTGTGGGCACCCTCCTGACAGGCTTAGGTTTGGCGGCTTGGGGCAAGGCAAGGGGAAGGGCAGGGGAGCTGCAAAGAGAGACAAGTGTTGGGGGGGGATCTGGAAGGCAGGTCTCCAAGGATCCATGCCCTGAGAGGCATTGGGCTCAGATCTGGTCACTGCCTTTGGCATTTTGGGGCTAGAGCTGGAGAGCTAGGTGGCTCCCACATCAGAGAGACCACCTGACCTTGGCTTTGACCTGGCCTGGTAATGTCTGCCGCCACACAAGGGACATGGGCAGGTAATTGGGGGATCCAAGGATGGATGGATGGATGGATGGATGGATGGATGGAT